TACTTTCCGCAATTGTACGCCTGGATTCCAGCATGACGCCCTCACATGGGTCATCGAGTTTCCGAGTTTGGTCATTTGGGCACCCGGTGCATATCTTCTGCGGCAATACAATCAGTAACGGTCGAGAAAGACGCGGGTAGAGGATCCTACTCTGCAAAAATTTGCACTTTCCCAGCTTGAAGTAATGGCAATTCTTGCCAGAAGGGCATTGATGTCCGTAGCAACACTTATCGCCCCAGCTGCATGCGAACGCTGAGATAAAAGTCAGCAGGCCTCTCTGGCCAGGGACGCATTTAACGGTAGACCCACCATTGTTCGCTGCTTGACATGGTGTTTTCTTTGCGTTCTTGCGCATTTCGTCATAATGTTTAGCTTCCAAAATGTAGTTGTGGCCATACTTGCAGCGTTCTTGGAACTTGCAAGCATCGACAAGATAATGGAGAGTGCAAGGAGGCGGCGTCTCTGAGAATAACCCTCAATCAGCATGATCGTTCATGGTCCTGATGAAAATGTTTACGCTTTGACAGAGGCTAGAGATGGAAAGAAATCGTAAGCTGCCTGCTCAGATGAAACAGTGTTACTGCCTTACCAGTCCTGGAGTGAGCTCCTTCGTAGCACTGGAGTTTGTGGATGCTCCACAGTCTTCACTCAGAGATGAAGCTTGGCTATGGCTGGGATCAGTGGTTGGGGAAGCGTCGCTGTGCGGCGTAGAGTGAATTCGGTTCCTAGAAGGCGTGGTGCTCCATGCCTCGGTGGTAGAAGGTAGAGGCGAGGAACTGTTTGCCATAGGTGACCCAAACCGCGCGATAGAGCCAGTTGTCGCTGCAGAAGGCTTCGATCGTGCATAGGGTGCATAGGGGAGCTTTTCTAGCATGAAAAGACCGGGAATATTCAAAGTGGGGAGGTCAAGTTCTTTAAATCCAGAGGCGACAGTTGTGTAGCTTGGGATTAGCACAAGCTTCTCTTTGAATCCAGCTGTCACTTGGGCTCTTAATTCCATGACATATCCATTATCATGAGACCCTGAACTGGCGATTAAATTTGCAAGTGGCCATAGACATATAGAAAAGCGCACCTGCAAAGAATACTTTGCGTGTCTCCAACGAACGTACTTCGCTTTCCAAAAGAGCTGTAACCAATAGGTATCAGAATACCGATAAGAGCGTCCAGGTAATATTCACCTTTTATCTTTGAATCTGCGGCCTCTTTCTTTTGACCAACATCAACGACCATGATTGTTTTAGCAGCTTCATTCATCCCAACGATGAAGTCGTCAAGTTCGTCCATCGCCGTCGGCCTGTTGTGACGTTGGAATAGGGCTCTGAGGCCTTTCTTGTTTAGGAAGACGTAAAGCCATATTTCGTCTCGGCGACCGGAATCCGAGTAACTCTTGATAGATTCCATTATTTTGGCTGCAGCTATGCCTCCACCAGCTTTCCCTTGCTCGATTAATTCAAAGTTGAAGAGAGCACCATCACCATCGACAAGTACGACAATGCGGTGTGCCTAGTTATCGAGCTCACAGTTAGGGCGATTGTGTGCGTCCAAGAACGAGGGACCGACCTCGATACTGCTCCGTGGGCTCTTCTTTAGTTCTTCGAACGCCTTGAGTAACTTGTTATGCTTCCTCTGAAGATCACCGTAGGAGCTAGTTACATCCGCCATCTGCGGCTCTAGCTCTGCCAGCCTTTTGTGACTTGAAATATCCCGACCCATTATGTCCATCATCTCCCCTAGAGAGTGCCTATAAGCACGTCTTCACATCTGGCCCCTCTTAACTCACCTTTCAAGCTGGCCATCCATAACTGACTAAGGGGAAGTGTTAAATGCAACCATAGATCGAGAACACGTCCCTCACACTCGATCATGCGACGTACGAAGCTCGCTCTCGGTGGCAGCTTCAGCATTGCGTCCATTATTGTTTGACGGATTCATGGCGTAGTGAATTGTGTACAGCGCAGAGTCGGAAGTATATGTCAATATTTAAGGTTTCGTCCCAGAGTTTACAGAAGCCACTGTGCCATCCTGTTATGGGGTCTGACCTCGGTCGTGGTGGGTGGTGGGTGGCAAGAAACCGGCGGAGCCTGTTGCGGCGCCTATCAGCGGCTTCCTCACGGTCACATTCCCACGTCACCGTTAAGCGCTCAACTTTGCTCAACGGCTCAAGGCTTTGCGCGCCCTAGTTGCAGTGTAAAAAGGGACGGCTAGCGCTTCTTAAATACTGATAGTTCTAGGACACCCCCTTCTAAGTCACGACAGGCTTTGGGCCAGCCTTGATGCAAGGGGTTCCTGGGGTGAGTCATAAGAATTTTGTCACGCTCAGTTGGATTTACATGAGGTACATGGCATAATTGGCTCGAGTCAAAGACTCGGGGCTTTACAAGTTGTTTACAAGATAAAATTCCGGATATGGAAAGCTCCGTATTGGTCGATACTCTCTGAGTCTCGTTCTCCATGTTTGTTCACTTTGACACCCGGTGCATGTCCTCTAAAAGCAGACCTCATTAGTTTTTCAAATGGGGGTAAGCAGACGACATCTACTTTGTTCAAATTTGCACTTCCCAAGCTTAAAGAAGTGGCAGCTTGGCGCAAAGGGGCACTTATGCCCATAGCAGCAATTGTCGCCCCAAGTGCAGATCATCCCTGAAGAATGGTAAGCATAAAGCTCTCTGAGCGCTCAAATAGCATGGCAAGAGCTTACCAGCATTCGTTGCCTGGCAGGGTGTTTTTCTGGCGTTCAGGCGCATTTCTTCGTAATTTTCATCGTTCAGAATGTAATTGTGGCCGTACTTGCAGGTCGATTCGTGTTTGCATGCGTCAGCGAGATAGAAGAGAGTGCACGGAGGTGGTTTCTCTATCCGCAGGATCAGCATCTTTCACTACCTCACCGAAAATAACTTACGCTTTGATAACGGCTAGAGAAAAGGTTACTTCAGCGCCAGCGTGGGTGCGGATCGACATCAGGGACGTACCAGAGCCGGATTGATGTGTCGCCTACCCTTATTCGTGAGGTGGGGTGACGTCGCAGCAGCACCTGACCCCGTAGAGTCTCTGTCATCGTCGCCTGGAGATGCGTTTCTCCTGTCGCTAAGCTCCGCCGTACGAGAACCGGAAGCCGCTCGATTCCGGGAAGGCATTGTGCTCCATGCCTCTACGACAGGCAAACCAGGAGGGAATTCCGGGACTTGTGCTGTGGCTTTCCCGGCTCCTGACTCGGGTCGCTCGTTCAAAGTCAGAGACGCCGGTCGCGGGGTCTGTGGCGCATAGGGGAGCTTCTCGGACATGAATAGATCTGGGATGGACAGCGTGGCGAGTTCGAGCTCCTTGTATCCAGAGGCAACCTCTGTATAGCTTGGGACCAAAACAAGCTTCTCTTTGTACCCCGAAGTGACTTGAGCTCGTAATTCCGTGACATATCCATTATCGTGCGATCCTAGATTGGGGATGAGAGGCGCAGTCGACACAGAGACACAGAGAACAAACCTGCGAAAAACACCTTGCGCGTCTCCAGAGACCGAACTTCACTATCCAAAAGAACTGTGGGAGATAAGAGTGAGAATCTCGGTTGTCATGAGGCTGTAAAACATACCTTTTATTTTGGAATCCGCAGCCTCTTTCTTCTGGCCAACGTCAACGACCATGATGGTTTTGGCGGCCTCGTTCATTCCGATGACAAAGTCATCAAGTTCGTACGCGGCCACTGGTCTATTGTGACGTTGAAATAGTGCCTTGAGGCCCTTCTTGTTTAGGAAGACGTAAACCCAGATTTCGTCTCGTCGACCTGCGTCCATGTAGTCCTTGATTGATTCCATTATCTTGGCTGCAGCCCTACCACCCCCAGCCTGACCTTGTTCAATGAGGTCGAAATTGAACAATGCACCATCTCCATCAATAAGAACGACCGTCCGATGCGGCTGGAATAGAAGGGATGAGGGGCTGTCGCAGACCCAGCTAAGACACTTACCTCAATATTATTACGAGGCTGGGTCTTCAATTCCTCGAACGCTTGTAGCAATTCGTCGTATTGTTTCTGAAGGTTATTATAGCTTCGAGTTGCGTCTGCAAGCTGTGGCTCCAGCTGCGTCAGCTTTCTGTGACTTCCAAGATCGCGGTTCATTATATCCATCATTTCCCCTGTCGAAAACGTGTTATTAGTATGCTGCGTGTCGTCTAGCCTCCTGGCTCACCTTTCAAGCTAGCTATCCACATTTGACTGAGCACACGTGTCAGACGACAATTGCGAGCGGAGGTATGATCCCTCACATTCGATCATGAGACATTCGAAGGTCATTCTCTGTGACCGCCATCGCATTATATCCAATGCCACCCGACATGTCGACGGCGTGTTCAGAGTCGTGGGGGATATTAGTACTGTCAACGAGGGATCCGCAGCTCTATATGGTCTCTTCAAGGAGAGCCTTTATATGTAGAAACCAATGCTGTGGCGTGTTGTGCGGTGTTAGGAACACGTGGTGCACATGAGGAGACGACAAGGCCATCCCATCACAAGTTAAGCGCCCAAAAGCCATAGTCGAGTGACCTTATTGTCCTTTTGCGGCTACAGAGAAGAGGAAGCCACTCTTCTTTTCATTACAACGTCTCAAGCATGCGGCTGGAGTACGTGTACTGCGGGGGAGTTATAGCTCAACGTCTACACGATTTGTAGGTCCTGCTGTTGTGATGACATCCTGGTTGCTTCGAGCCCCTGATGGAACGGCCATCTAACAAAGAACGAGGACCTACACAAGCTGTATTAGGTCAAAAATGTAAGAGAATGGAGGCAGCATCAATTACTACCTATCTATGGTAATAACAAAGACCCAGGGGTTTGAGTCTGGAAGGGCAATGCCTTTATTAATACAAAAGCCACTAGCCTGGATCGCGTACACACGATTTTAAGCGCCTGCGGGGATCATTCAATATCTCGCCTTTTCTGCAGCCACAGATCATATTTTCGCCATCGATATAAGAAGACGATGCTTGAAGCAGGCAGCAAAAAATGGGGAAACCGCGGATCGAACGCGGGACCTTTAGAATACACCTGAGCTGCTTCAGTCTACTGCTCTCCCAACTGAGCTATTCCCCCGATGAATAATAGCTAATGCAGTATCAATACGTCCGTAAGTTTACAATGCGGTAACTGCACCAGAGCCATTCGTTGTGTTCCCCGTGTCATCTCAGTGGTCCAAGCACATCAGGGTACACACCAACGTTGAACCAATCATCAAGATTGTATTCCCGATCCAAGGGTCAGGCGATTGGGGTTTCGGAAAGCGACTCGGGGAGAGGCGCAGCAGTCTCAGACATCCCACAAACGAGAGGTCAATCCACGTCGGGAAAGTGAATCAACAGGCACCATTCCAGTGATTCTGAATTGGAGAGGTTTCCCGTCCAGTGCGACCGATCGATCGCGCAGTGAAGCCAAGGTCTACACTTGATGGTGACGGCGGCTAGCCAGTCGCTGACAGTCAAGAACCTACACGTGGCGAAGAATGGCTGTCCTTCAGCGCCCTAGAAGGCAGTATTGATCTTCTCTGAAGGGAAGTAGAACAAAAGATGTCATAATGCGCGAGGCTTCGATTCTCCTTCTAGTAAAAGGATCGTCCATGGAGGAGAATAGCCGCTAAGAGTAAACACGATGGCGACTGCGAGACCGCGGAACTACCTTCTTCCCGCTATGACCGCGTCAGCAATTGGATTTGCGTGAATCGTGACCTGGGGGACACTTGTCAGGAACGATCCTTTTTGCCATATCCCCGATTCAGACTCACTCCTGATAGCTTTATCTCTTGGAGAGGCCGATTCTTGTTGTTCACGGGAGCACGTTCCATAACATCCAAGACATCTAGGCCATCGATGACCTTGCCAAAGATGGTGTTACTACCGTCAAGATGAGGCTGTTTGGCGTACGTGATAAAGAACTGGGATTTATTGGTGTCACGTCCAGAATTGGCCATGGCCACGACCCCTCGGGCATTGAACTGAATGAAGGCGGATCAGTTGAACACCCTTACATCGAAGCAACGAGAGAAGCCCAACAGACTTTGAGCGTGGACCGGATTTCATCCTCAAATGGGGCGCCCCAAATGCTTTGACCGGTCTTGCCTGTCCCAGATGGATCTCCGGTTTGGACAATGAAGCCCTTTATGTTTCGGTGGAATATACAGCCATCGAAGTAGCCTGATGCGCAGAGGGCCAAGAAGTTCTGGAAAGCCTTAGTTCTGACTTCATCATATGGACCGAACGGCGCATACCTCTGCGGCCTTAGGCACTGCTTCGCAGAATACCTCGATCTAGGGTGCCATTGAGAACCCAGAAAGCGCCCGACGAGCACAGAACACACCTTGATATCCCCGAGGCTAGTGTGAAGCGTCACTGACTGAAATTGCTGTTAGCATCGACGTTGATGGTGGTGACGGGAAGAGAGCTAACCATGTTGTCGCCGTGTCGAGGGATTGCATCCGCCCGCAGGTCAATATAATGATCACATGATCCAGCGGAAGCCCCTAAATATAGAACAAGTCTGAAACTCCGTATTCTCGCATCGAACCGCCAAAGCCAGGCTTTCATCAATCTCTGTTCACAACCACCATCATCTCCCTTCCCTGGTGACATTCCCGCACAGACCATCCATGACTCTGCGTACCCCCTCCGTATACAGCCAGGATGACCCAATCACCGCTGCCCTCAAGCCACCCCCGACAGAGACAGAAGCCGAGCGTATGGTCAGGCTCGAGGCGGAGGCAGAGGCAAAGCGCATCTCGGAGCAGATTGACGATGATCTGAGAGAGGAGCGAGAGCGTATGCGGAAGAAGAAGGGCGATGTCAAGGTATGTTTTCCGAAGGATAATGCCCTCCGCGACGCCACATTGAACGGTCAATGCAGTTGCTATTGTTGGGGCAGGCGGAGAGCGGCAAGTCAACGCTGCAGAAGCAGTTCCAGCTCATGTACAAGCCCAGTTCATTGGAGCAAGAGCGGGCATCTTGGGCGACGGTAATCTACTTCAACGTCGTTCACAGTCTGAAGCACATCTCGGCGACCTTGGAGGCTTGGGATGACTCTCTGGAAGGCACCGAGTTTGACGAGGCGCCAACCCGCAGGCGGGGCAACGGCTCCTCAGACTCGCCCGCCGGCTCGAGCTCAGGTGCCGCTACACCGAGCGAGGCTCTAGACGCCAACGGTCCTGTCCAGATTGCCAACCTGCGGCGGCGTCTGTCTCCGCTCATTGCAACGGATGAGCAGCTTGCGGACCGTCTGACTGGCGGCGTCTCGGTTTCTGGCTCAGGAAAGGGTGCTGTGTATGTTCGAAGTGGTTGGCAAGCACGGACGATTGAAAACGCCATCGGCAAGCTCAGGCGGCATCCTAATGAAGCCGAGAAGCGAAGCCAGGACGGACCTTCACAAGAGCCGCAGGACCCCCTCGCACAGGAAGTGGGGCGCATGCTAAAGCTATGCGAGCACGACATTGAAGAGCTCTGGAGCCATCCGACCGTTAAAGGCCTCATCGCCAAGCGTAAATTGAAGCTCGATGAGTGGTCAGAGTAGTGAGTCGACTATATGCGAGTCCTTAACACCTCTCTCACACCCACTCAGCTTCCTTCGACAAATTAAGCGTGTTGCGGCTCCTGACTATATCCCAACCACTGGTAGGTGGTCTTGATGCCTAATTCACACGCATACACTCATCTTGCGTCAAAGATGACATCCTCCATGCCCGAGTACAGACAATGGGGGTGGCAGAACACTCCTTCGACGTCAATCTCCATGGCAAGAACGTCACATGGCATCTTTACGATGTCGGAGGCGCTCGTGGGCAGCGGCATACCTGGGTGCCCTACTTTGATGATGCAAACGCTATCATCTTTGTTGCACCCGTCAGCGCTTTCGACCAGGTATGTGGACCCCGCCTCTCCACCTTGAGCCTCCCGCTTAATCATGTTTCAGTATCTCGAAGAAGATCCTCGGACCAATAGGATTGATGATTCTCTTCAGCTATTCACTCAAATCTGTTCCAACGCCCTTCTGAAGAATGTTCATCTCGTCCTTTTCCTTAGTGGGTTCTTTCGTTGCTGTTCTTGTGCCTTTTTGCTGATGTGCCTCAAAGACAAGACCGACCTCCTTAAAGCCAAAATAGATAAAGGGCTCCGAGTGAAGAAATAGTGCGTCTTGGTCGCTCTCAGGAAGGCTTATCTGATGCTGACGATTTGATATAGTATTACCTCGTTCGGAGACCGCTCCAACGACTACGAAACGGTCGTCCAGTATTTCCGAGCGCACTTCCTCCAGGTGCATCGTAAGAACAACGAGCAACGCCGCGTGTTATACACCCATTTTACCAGTGTTGTGGTGAGCCCTTTTTCCTTCGAACGGCTTCTTTTGACCTTGTTTCTGATATTGGTCGGTACAGGATACCAAAACAACGCAGCGCATAATCGGAAACGGTGAGTTTTCCCGGTCATTTGGAGTTCGTCGAGATGCAAGGATGCTAACTATTTGACCGCAGTCCGAGATTCCATTTTCCGGGGCTACCTCCAGTCAGCGGCACTGGTCTGATCATTTGAAGGAAATGATCTGCGATCCACCGACGATATCACATTCACCAACCCTCTGCCTTTCTCCTCTGGCTGTCTCTCTACCACCCGATATTCTTTCGATGTTCAAAGTGTTGTATTAGGTTATTATGTTCTCCTTTCGCTTTTTTGGCGCATTATCGTCCATTCATTCATTCATGTTTCGCCCCCTTACTCTATACTCTTTCTGAGGTATTTAATGCTTAGAGCCGCCGATCCTTCGCTGTTTTGCGTGGATACGATAATTCTGGCAAGGCGATGTCTGTCGTCGAAGCTATGTTGATGGCTTAGACAGCAGCTGGCCTTCGTAGGTCTTATGACGCGCTGCCCTTTTCCTTTGTATCGCCTGCAAAGATGTGTATACATTGGCACATGTGATCTCCCTTTTGATGGTCGATGGACCTCCATATCCCTGATCTTTTGCTTTCAAGCCTGTGCGGGACCGCCCTCGTCGGTGTGAGACGGCGCAATGGTCCCTCCGTTCCTCAGAATGGCCTGAAGGCCAAGGCAGGTACGACCATGTATATGGTTGCGACCTACGCGATTGACAGGCTGTCATGAACTCTCAATCAATCTACGTTTTCGTGATGATTGTCAGGAAGCACCTTTGTCGGGCGGAATAGGGGTATGTATAGATCATGGGGATCTGAAAGAAGGCGTGCTTGATTGGCAAGCCGCTTACAAGAGAAGCCCGGTTTCTTGAATTGGAGTTCGGGGGCTATGAATGGAATTAGGGTGATGACAGTTACAATCGGGTGTCGTATGCTTTTGGATGAGGGGTATGATGGAAGCGCTTTGCAGGGCAACTGAGAGATAAGCTATGAGAGAAAAGTTCCTGTTCCTGCCGACTTACCTTCTGGAGGATCCTTCGAAATGAACTCATGACATCAAGTAAATGAAGAACCCACGCATATACAGATCACTATCTATTGGGGTATTGTTTTCGAGAGTCTCGGTGGGCAGAAGCTGACATATAGAGGACTAGATCTCTGATTTAACAAGGCTAATACATGGTCCTGGAATCTGATGCTGATTTCGGAGGCTGGGGAACCGCTTCAAGCTGATAAGCAATGCCTATTCAAACGTAGCTCCAATCCTCTGAGCGGGGACATACTACCAAGGATCGCCCCTTTTATTTGCTTTTACGAATAATACCCACAAATCCCTATGCTCTACACAGTTCAAGACATTAGACGGCCTGACGGGTCCTCGATGCTGGGTGCTACAGGAAGCAAACGCAGGTGGAGAAACAGGTCAGCCCGAGTCGGACTCCCCTATCTCCCATCGAAGGTGCGAAATGCCTCCAGTTGGTGCCGTCGCAATCCTGGTTTCCTCTTCCGAGATGCATGTTTTTTCAACATGCTGCATAGTCCCAGAACCACAGTCTCTTTTAACTGCGAGCAGCTGTAGCGTCATAAGGTACGGGAGGTTGAGGCCAGCGCCGTGCGCTTTAGGTCAGATCGTTTCGACGGGTGGACAAGGTCGCAGCTTCCGAGATGTTGAGCACTGGTCTTC